GGATTCACTTCAACCTTCCCATGAACGTGGATCCGTACCTACCATGCATTTCGTCGCAAAACCACTTCCGGTCCCGCCCACTGGTCCATGGTCCGTGGAAGATTCCTTTAAGAACTCAAAAGTGCGTTTAGAGAAATTCCCCACAAAGCAAAGGCGCTAAGGCTTGCCTTGTGTTCCGCCGCGCTGCTACCGAATGCGGCATACGTGGCGTCTGCGCTCTCTCGCGTACGACGTGCTCTCTCGCGTTTTCCCTCTCCTCGCAGCGCTGTGTCTCTCCATCATACCATGCCCGACCTCATAAAGGAAATTCCTTTGTTATGGCGCTTTTTGCTTTTTTTCTTCGACATTCCCTTTTGCCTTTTTATCTGCTTTTCGTACAAAATAACACACAAATTCAATCTAAACCCGTGAACGGAACCTTGGATATGTGGCTGGTATCAAAAGCTTTTCGTTTTCATGCTAGGTCCTACAATGGAGTGCGCGAGCTGTAGGGGAAGAATAGCGCACATTTCCCACCGACCTTTCCAAATTCCAAAATAAACTTTTCAGAAATTGAAAGCTCACATTTTGCAGATTATTGGGAAATATGACAAGGAACAGCGGAAGCGTCACTTTACGTATTTATTAACTTACCAACACCCAAGGCGCACTTTCAACAGCAAAACAACAACATGTACATATTATTGTGCTGTTGTTCTCAAACCCGTTTACTTAATTTAAACGTATTCGTTCGAAGGGAACCCAACCTACAATCACGCTTGATACGGTTTTGAACATATGACACGAAGATGCACGTTCCTCGTCGCTGTCGTCCTCGAGCGGCTCGTCCGGTAAGTATTTTGCCACGGATATTTCGCTGAAATCGTGACATAAATATTTCTCTCAATCATCGAAGACTGCTCTGAGAATTTTACTAAGGGGTTCAGACTGATTCTATCGGCATTGTCAAACTCCACAGTATTGTAGGGCAGCAAGCGGGTGGCTGTCAAGAGGCCCACTCTGCTGCCGCGCGCAGAAACCAGTCTAAGACCTAGTGCCGCGTGTTGGATTGTCTTCGCCGCCGTCTATGATGCATATGCTCACGCGCGATGACATTGCTCACCGTTTGGCAGCTGGCTGCCGTCGCAATGGGAACCTCCTGACCGACACCAGCAATAATTTCCTAAACTATCCATTTTTGTGAGATTGATATCGCTGCAGGATGTAAGGGATCAGAAACGGTGGTAAAAAAATTTTCGAACACGAGTCTCCCTTTCCCACGCCCTCCACAATGTTGCCTCATCTCCCTGAACATCACGCATCCTAGAACTTATGAGCCTCGACCAGGATAAGATACATATATAATAATGAATATTAATAAAAGGCGCTCATCCAGTAAGGGGGGCATCAAGTGGCTGCCCTCACCCCCCACCCCCTAGACTGCCTACACTCCCCCTGGCGCACAGGTTTCTCGAAGTACGGGACCCCGTGAGCCAGGGGGAGTGAAGGCAGTCTAGGGGGGGGGGGTGAGGGCAGCCACTTGACGTTGCATCACAATGCCCCCCCCCTGGATGAGACCCAATAGTAAAACACTACGAGGTTATAAAAAAACTTGGAGAGCTTCACTAGACTACCGCTTCGATAACGAGCCTTTCCACATTGACTTAATCTATACTATTCCTCTCCGCCAGAACCCCTTCCCCCCCTTTCTTCTTTTATGGATGTGTCCTTGATTCAGAGGACGACTAGCCCACACAGTATGAAGGACATTAAAACATTGATGTGAGAAAGGTCACGAGGAAAGAAGGCCCACAATCCTTCACATCTCGTCTCTAAGAGCCTTGTGATAACGTAGAACAGAAGCTCATTTCGATAGACGTTTCCAAAATTTGACTGCCGCTATGAAAGACACCGAATCCTCTATTGAGTTGGACAAGCTTTAGCTACCAATATTCTCTTCCTTTTTGAGAAACTAACCGACTGAGCAAAGACAAAGCATCATAAGCGTCGTCATCAGAAATGCCGTGCTCATTTATTGGAAGCGCTTCCGAGGAACCGTGGCGCGACACGCGCTCACAGGTGAAAACATAGCGCGTTATCATTCGCATAAGCAGAACTACTGTATACGTTAATTGTATTGTGTTTTTTTATTAAGTACTCTTCATCACAAATGGCGATAAGCGATGATATGGAAGGAGCTGGAGCTTATTGCTATAGTAATTTACTCGCATTTTTAGGGTAACCAGAAGTTTCATTTTATATATGTTCGGAAAGTGGTGTAGTGACAAGTGGCGCGCTTACCACGCGAGCGGTCCGGGGATCAAATCCTGGGTCGTGAGTCGCCCGGGCCAACCAAGCCTTCCATCCCTCCGGGGTCGGTTAATTGGTACCAGACTTGTCTGGGAGGATAAAAAACACTGACTTGTACATCGGCTGGCCCCCGCAAGTCATTGTATAGGCCACATCGCATTCAAACGCCACTACGAATGTACAAATGGAAGTAGAATGCGTGCCGCATCCCAAAAAGGGATTGATCAACGGCAAATGCTTTATCCTTATCCTTTAACCAGGAAGTGCTTCAAATTCTCATGGAACTTTGAATTGAGACTTAGGTAAATCGATAGAGCCTAGAATGCTGGTTACAAATATGGAAAGCAAAACTGCTACGCGAACTTGCCGAAATTGTGAGCGATCAAAGTTGGCTGTTAATGCAGCGCTGGTACAATGATATTTGATAAAAGCCTATCGCAAGGGATTCTGATGTTCCTGATTACGAAAATGACGTCTATTCTTGACGCAGACGTAATCTGAATGCACCAACTTAGATCGTGAAACTGTCATCACGGGAACCGAATCGGGATCGCTATTGGCTCCCTTAGCAGATACACATAGCAGTTTTGCTCCTCGCATTTGCAACCATCACCCCAGCCTCTATCAATTCACCTTATCGGTCTCAATTCAAAATTTCATGGGAAATAGAAACACTTATTTGGTAAGAGACCCGTTTTAAGGTGATGGTCGTTCAAGTAAATCCCAGTTCAAACATTGCTGCAGTTGCTATCAAGAAAGCTACAGAAATGCCGTCCAAATTAACTGACAAGGGAGTCTTTCAGGGCAAGCCGCGCTCTTTGAAAACGGTTTCTTGTTAATGGTTCGATCCCCCGTGGCGACTAAATTTTGCATTTGGGTTGGCGCCTACGGTTGGTGCCAAATCGCTAAATGTCAAAATCAGATGTCAAATTCATCGTCAGGACCATTTTGAAGCCAACAAGTGGCCGCCAACCTTGATTGCAAAATTTAGTCGCCGCGGGGGATCGAACCATCAAGAGTATCATTCACCACTTTTTTGGTACTACTAAAACCGTTCAGCGAAAACGAAACATGGTTTTGTGGTCCATACATGCGTCCCTACAATATGCAAGAAACCGTTTCCAAAAAGCGCGGCTTGCCCTGAAAGACCTCCCTTGTGAGTATCTAGCCCCAAGTCATCTGTCGGAAAATACGAAAGTTAAGCGATATGAAGGGCCTAGCTCACAGAGAGGTCTCCATAGAGGTCCTCTCAAAGGCTTCCACACTATGTTGATGAAGCACAATGAAAAAGATCCTTCAAGCAGGAAGAAGAGAGCATCAAAAAGTAGTACTAGAGACAGCATGCATCAGTGCTGTGTGCTGCCACTTGTATAATACTCATACAACAATCCTCCACACTACCACCAAGAAGCACTTACCACTTCCAGATTGAAGTAAGTCCCCTTTTCAGGGTGACTCTATTTCCCTCAACTGCACTTCGGCTCTATTCCATACATTTCGTCAGAAACCGTCGGTGAACAAGTGCTTCTGGGCCCGCAAAAGCTGCATCTCATTAAGGCTCAACATTTTCAAAATGTCAAGCCTCTTACAAGAAGTCCCACCTAACTTTCCGATTGCCCAAGAAACTGTCAAAAATTAGCGGCAAATGTATTCCGATTAGATTAAATGTATAGCGCCATAAAAAGCAACGAAGAGTGGCATAGCGTCGGTGAAAAAGTGGAATCTGATCCTCAAAGGGGACCACTCCGTGGTGCGGACGTTTTCTGTCCCTTTCCCGATATCGCTTGTTCAAGAGCCCTAGCGATACTC